CCCAGGGGTGCTTAACCACTGAGCCACATCCCCCCCCTTTTTTTTTGCATTTTATTTAGAGACAGGGTCTTACTGAGTTGCTTAATAACCTCTTGCTTTTTTGCTGAGGCTGGCTTTGAACGCATGATTCTCTTGTCCCAGCCTCTCGAGTGGCTGGGATTACAGGCATACGCCTGGCTGGAATTTGCTTTTTTTTAATTAATTAATTTATTTTTAGTTGTAGTTGAATATAAAACCTTTATATGTGGTGCTGAGGATCGAACCCAGGGCCTCGCACGTGCTAGGTGAATGCTGTACTGCTGAGCCACAATCCCAGCTCTGCAATTTGCTTTTTAATGCTGATTTCCAATGTCCAAGAAGCATGGACCTTGTGGTGTGGTCTGTGCCACCTGCTACTCTAATAAACATCCACGTGGCCCTTATAGAACAAACCCTAGGTTTTACGCACGTTCCTCTAAAAAGTGAAGGCATGTTTTACAGTCAGAGTACCATGCTACTTCTGAGTCATAACAACATAACAGTAATAATTTATTGTCTCATTCAGTGTCCACAGTGCTCAAATTTTCCACATGTCAATACATGCCACAGGCACACATACACTCAATAGGTGTGAATCAGGATTGAGTGGCGCCTTTGAATGGTGTGTCCTTTCTAGGTGGGTGTCTGGCTTTTCCTGTGGATTCCGCTCACTTCAGCCATGAGGCTAAATGTGGATCTGTCATTTCTGGAGACTTCTTGAAATCAGGAGGTACATTTGGAGGCTCTGCAGAATTGACCTTGATTTTCCCCCTCTGTCCTGCTTTGTAAAAAGTGTTGGAGTACATCAGGAAACACTCAGGCCCTCTGCTCCTGTTGACAGGTGAGATGTCCAGTAGCTGAGTGTCCTTCCTGAAGCTCTTCACAGCCATTGGGCTCCTGCTTTGAGCAGCAATTGACAGGTGCCTGTGCCCATTAGGTCATGAGGGTGTGCATAGTGGTGATAGTATAGCTCTCCTACTGTTTTTTTTTTTTTTTTTTTTTTTTAACTCGGAAGTAGGGTACCCAGGACTAAACTCAGGGGCACTTGACCACTGAGCCACTTCTCCAGCCCTGTTTTGTTTGTATTTCATTTAGAGATAGGGTCTCACTGAGTTACTTAGTGTCTAGTTTTTGCTGAGGCTGGCTTTGAATTCACCATCCTCCTTCCTCAGGCTCCCGAGCCTCTGGGATTATAGGCATGGGCCACCATGCCTGGCTTTCCTGCTGGTTTTGATTGTATTTTCAGAAGTATTCCAAAGAGAACTTCTATCAGTATTGTTTACTCTGAGTTTATTCAAGAAAGAATAGGTGCTGAATTTGTTCTTTTTGTTTGCTAGCTTTCAGAATAACCAGTGGCTCTCCAAGATGACTGGGAAATTTGTTCATTTTCTAAAGACTTAAAATCAGGGTATGTGTGTGTGTGTGTGTGTGTGTGTGTGTTTGCTGGGAATAGAAGACAGGACCTCATATACTAGGCAACTGCTTTGCCGAGCCACATCCTCAGCCATTTTATTTAATTTTGAGACAGGTTCTCACAACTTGCCCAGGCTAGTCATGAACTCAAGTTCCTTCTGCTCAGCCTCCCGAGTAGCTTGGACCTTAGGACCTTAGGAGTGCAGCGGTGCCTGAATAATGGTCTGTTTTTTTTTTTTTTTTTTTTTTTTTTTGCATTGTTATATTTCATGGGTCTGAGTAGCACTTCAGCACTGCTCTAAGCTCTTGCACATTGCCTGTCATGTTGAGCATTTGAATAATACTGCAG